GTCCAATGAAAGGACGAGCTTGTGGTCTCATTTATGCAGGAGTTGTATGGCATGCAAACGACATTGTGTAGGAACCCTAATCAACCTATTAGTTTGCATGCATGCAAGCTACTATAGTACCATGCAAGGGTCTTATCATACTTTTAAATTTAAATTAATTACATCTAACTTTGAATTGAATTCACACTACTATAAATTCATATTTTTACACAAGATTTTTACACACATTATTTTCTTCCTCTACTCTCTAGCATTTTATACACACATTATTTACTTTCTCTACTCTCTTGCAATCGTAATACTGAATTAACATGGCATTGTTGTGGATGGGCAATGAACATCGTGGAACACAAGAAAATATCCAAGCTAGTGTATGTTTTTTCTCTATTAGAATGCATTCAAAATTAATGTCTATAGTTGTGGAGTTAAATATTATTTCGTAGAAAAAATCGTGATTACATTTTGTTGGTTTAATATTGTTGCAGACTAATGCCCCAAGGTTTAGAGTGCATTCACATGCTTCTATTCAAGTGAGTTAGAGAATAACGACTTATCTTGAAATAGCAGGTTTTGCACATATCTCAAAAATAAATAGTTTAAAAGTCGACTCAAGTTTGGTTGTGGCTCTGTTGGAGAAGTGGAGACTCGAAACACACATTTTTCACTTCCCAACAGGTGAATGCACAATAACGCTTGAAGATGCGTATATGTTACTTGGTCTACGAGTTGATGAAAAAGCTATCAACGGTCCCACCGATGTAACAAACGCTGTTTATATGGAAAACTTGGGGGTGGAACCTACAGAAGAGGATAAAATTAAATGTTATATTAGGATCACCTGGTTAGAGAGTTTATATGAAACTTTAAAAAATAAACCTGTCCCCACACAAGAAGAAGTTCTGTTAGAGGCCAAAATTTATATTTTACTTGTAATCGCTACTATTTTGTTTCCTGACAAAAGTCAGAACCTATTGCATTCTTCTTGGATCCCTTTCATAGTGGATCTTGTCGCATGCGGTACCTATAGTTGGGGTTCTGCATGCCTTGCAAAACTATACAGAGAAATGTGCAAGGCAACAGTCAAAGATGTTAGAAGCATGAGTGGTTGTGCTCTCCTACTAACTTCGTGGGCATTCACACGTATACCATTGTTCGCTCCTGTCAGCATAGTGGAACCCTCGTTTCCATATGCACAAAGGTATTTTTGTATTAAAACACCCATTTATGTATTAAAACACCCATATATATATATATATATATATATATATATATATATATATATATATATATATATATATATATATATATATATATATATATATATATATATATATATATATATATATATATATATATATATATATATATATATATATATATATATATATATATATATATATATATATATATATATATATATATATATATATATATATATATATATATATATATATATATATATATATATATATTTGTTATTCAACTATGCCTAACAATATTATATTTTTTTTTGGTTATGCAAGATGGGCGCAAAGAGGAATGAATTACCGTGTAAATCCTCGTTTTCATCTTCAAGGATATCGAAACGCATTGGACCATATGCAAGAACAAGATGTAAGTTTGAAACCATGTGAAAATAGTTGTCAGTTCTACTCGTTAATTGTATCTTAAATTTATTTTTTATGTGGCAGTTTATATGGAGGCCGTACATTCAATATTCGATGCCCAGTCTTGGAGATCGCCAAATCTAGAGTGCAACCACTTACCTTATTTGTTTCTATATCGTTGAGATGCATCAAACAGATAGGGTAACACTCCAGTTTGGATTAGACCAACAAATCCCTCCCCCGCCAAGGTGTCTAAGGGAACCCCACGCAATGACCATGAGAAAAGCCCAAAAAGTTCATTGGCGAGAGTTAAACAAGGAGGAGATGAGAGAATGGAGACACAGAAGAAATGTGATTTTGCAGGGGGACGCTGCATTACATGAACGCAAGCCAAGCCAAGAGTATTTAGCTTGGGTTCGTGCCATTCCATATGTGCATGTTGCTCTAGAACAATTTTTGACCGACCCACGCACGCAAGCATCATCATCAACACAACCGACTGCCACATTAATGCATCAGGATGTGCCACCAACCTACACATCTCAATTTGGGGGGCACGCGTCCTCGTCAGCTCAACATACATACCAACAACAAACACCCAACAATCCATTCCCTCAACAAAACTATAACTATCACTACAACCAACAATATCAGCCCCAACCCTACCTCCGACCACCCATGTATATCACCCCAGTCCCACCGCCCAACTTTGACCAGATCGGCCCACGTTTCCAATATCAAACCTTCAACACTACCTTCTGTCAACCCACCTCGACCTTCAACACTACCTTAACTCAACCCACCTCGACCTTCATGCCTGATGACGTCTACTACACAACCCTTCAACAAACCCAACCCGAAACCTACCCGCAACCACCACACTTATTCCAAAAAATTTTGCTGACAGACGAGCAACAGATGCACATGCCGGATTTTAACATTGATGATCTTCTCGATGAGAAACCAGGACTCTCTTCACGGCAGGCAAACCCCCTACAACACATCACAACGAAGACATGTCTTCCGACTCATCTCAATCACCTAGAAATGAGCGTTTGGGCAGGGGATATAGAGAGTGAAGGACCACTAGGTGTGGAACTGTGGGTCATCTTCGATGAAATGTATTTTTGTTTAATCAATTTTATTGTTGTAATTTAATCTTGTAAAGTTAAAATTATTTACATTTCTTATAATATACTTTTATAATGTAATTATTATTAATTAGTATTTTATAATTAAAATTTTTAAAAATGGTATTATAGAAATTGTAATTAAAAATTATTCACATAAAAAATTGTAATTAAAAATTATTAACATTAACTATTTAAAATTATAATTATAAAATTGTAAGTTATAATTAAAATTAAATTATAAAATTGTAATTACAAAATTAATAAGTATTTATCATTAACTATTTAAAATTAAAAAATTATTAACATTAAAATCTTTAAATAATTAAAATAAAATAAAATAAGAACTTCACACGCTCGTCCACTGGGTGGACGAGCCCACAAAGCCTATCCTACGCAACAATAGCTCGCTCAACCATTGGACGAACCTGCACCCCCTAAATTCCTTTATGCACTAGCTCTCTCAATCATTGGACGAACTTGTTTGAAAATGGGGCACATTCGTAAATATTTTTGAAAGTAGGGCATTATGGGATTTATTTTTTCAATTTAGGGCAGAACAGTGAAAAAACCTAGTGTACAAGGGTGACTTTTTAGAAATTGGTTGTGTAGTGGTAGCAGCAGTGTACGTTTCGTAGCAGGTTTGTGGCTATTGGAACGTTGGGTTTTGTTTGCTTGTTGTATTGACAATTATTTGGGGTGAAGAAGGTTTTGTGTAGTTTGTTTGTTAAGGTTTGTAAGGTTGAAATTATGTGGTTATGTTGAGGTTAAAGTGATGTTGGATGAAGCATGAGTTTTTGTAGATTGGATTTATGTTGGTTGTAGCATGCATATGGCTTTTGTGGATTGTGATTTTCATGTGCAGACTTTGGATTTTTTTACAACATTACCCTAGTATGAAACACTATATACCATAATACCTAAGTCTGGAAAAAATTTACGAGGATGTCTTATTTTTTGTACTTACTCATCCACTCAAGTGGCGGGCTTAGTCTAGTTTTTTTTAGTGTAGGTGCCCGCCCACTCAAGTGGCGAGCACATGATGAACTCTTTTTTTTTCCTTCATATTTATGTTATGTTTAATTAATTAAAAAAATAATTTTAAATATTAAAAATTCATTATATTAACTTAATTATGATATTAATGTTAAATAATTATCATATATCTTGTTTAATTATGTTATTTAATTTAATTATAAATAATCTTTATAACAATATTATATATCATGTTATTATATAATATTATATAGAATGAAAAAAAATGTGAATGATATAATAATTTAATTTTTCTTCCTGTCATGTATTTAAAAAATGATTGATGTTCGTCCAAGGAGTTGTATAGTTTTTACAGACTCTCGGTCATTGCATGACCGAGTTCAAACGTAATTTTTTTTTATAAATAGACGTATTGTGCATCAGCACAAATCACTCACGTCTAGTGTTCAGTGTTTTAAAAATATCTGTTCGAGCTCTTGTTTTTTATGGACAAGAAAAAAAATAAATGTTTACCTAGATCTGCAGTGGAATTTCAGAACCGTGGTTGCAGCAATTAACACGGATTTTCGACAGTTGGGTGGTCGGCGCATGACTGTGAAAAAAATGGAGTATCGTTGTCTGTATATAACGCTGACTGATGCCTGCCCAGAGGGTACATACATGTATTACTTGGATCTTATAGAAAATGATGAACATGTCCAATTTATGTTTTCAGCACATAGTGGCAAAGTTAACAGAGGAGTCGAAGATCCACTTGTGTTGGTTGTTATTGTTGGTTAGCGTGTATGTTAGCTTCTTGAGTTTTATTTTTAAGTTTATGGTTGTAATCTGGTAGTATTCTGTAATCTAAAAGTTGTCTTGAATTAAAAATAAATGTTGGATCACATAGAAATCAAATGCGAGCAAAACAAATAAAATTATCTAGACGATCAATTTGACGGGCCGACAACATTTGGACATTTTCTACGCATATGGCCTATTTCTCTGCAAATCCCACACCTTATCTTTTTTTTCCAGCGTTCTCCATTTCAGTCCTAATCCTAGTACTGGTTGGACTACCCTTTTTATTTCTTCTCTTGGAATCGTCGTGGCATAGAGTAAAACCTTCATATTTTGGTCAGTTCTCCTCGTACGGTAGTCCTAGGAAGCTTTCCTTGTAAACTTTGAATATGTTAAGAACTGTGAAGACCTCTGGAATGTGAATTGTGTAGCCTTGTCGTATGCTAGAACATGTTGCGATCACGTGGGAGCAAGGCAAGTGAAATTCTTAAAATTTTCCACAGTCACACCAACAATTCCTCGGGTCAACGCTGAAAGTACCCGTTGGACGACCATCATTTTGATTAAATTTTTTCTGCACCATAAAACAGAATCTTTCACGATCAAATTGCATGACATTGTGTGTGTTAGCCTTAGCTACCTCATCATCCATTCCCTTGTTGCAATCATCTGTGAAAACTTTCCTTGTAGCTAGCATTTTGGTCCATTTGTGTCCTTGTTTACCAAAGAGTGAACCCATTCGATAGTATGTAGACTGGACCAAAGCAGTGATTGGAAGGTTTCTGGTTGCCTTTAGTACAGAGTTCATGGCCTCTGCCAAGTTAGATGTCAT